AAAGCTTTTAAACACCCTCCCCCCACTTTCAACTTCATTCATCATTTAATTTAACAACATTGAAGAGTCTTATGTCGGTTTTCCTGATGTCATGGAGAGGTGCGACTTGGGCAAGAGGGCTGTTCCTCCACAGCTCTCTTTTTATCCAGCTGCAGACTCTCTCTGTGCATTGACAGTTTTCTTCAGATGCACAAATTCCCAGCTCACATTTAAGTAACTGTGTCTACTCCAAAAGCTTTTATTCTGTAGTTACTATTTCAAGGATTACCTAGAAGCAAAAGAATCAACTTTGCAAACATAAATAGGTAAGAAAAGGGAAGCTTGGGTTAAACATCAGATAAGGCTGCCCAAAATGGCACATCATTAGCAATCAAGTGTGTGATGTTTGCCCCCAGTGACATACTTATGGAAAGGCTTTCCTGGTTAATCTGGGTAGACTTACTTTTATTTTCCCAACATAATGTTTTATAGGTACCTCTATAATTACTATTAAGAGTTAATAATGTTTTGGGACTGGTCTTAAAAAGTTCACAGGTTTAGTTAACACTGAAGCACCTATATGACAGCTCACAACCACCTATAACTCCAATTCTGTGAAACCTGACACCATTTTCTATCCTCCACAGACACCAAGAATGCATATGATGCACATATACACACTGGAACAAACACTTATTCACATAAAATAAAAAAATGTTCTTTTAAAAAGTTAAAGTTTTCAAAGAAACTTTGTAATTTGGGTGCAAATATAAAGTGAACAGTTGTCAAAATTTGTATTTCCAATATCCCCCCTTTTCTACAGGGATACACCCCAATACTCCTGTGTATGACTATAAACACAAATAGTATTGAATTCTATAGATATTATACTTTGCTATTAGAGTATGCCCATGGCAAAGTTTAATTTATAAATTATGCACAGTGAGATTAACAATAATGAAATTATGCAACTATAGCGGTATGCTTTTTAAAAAGTAATTTAAAGCTGTGCAACCAGCTGTACGTGGTTGATCATGGACTAACTGAAACGACGGAAAATGAGTCCTTGAAAGAAGCTCCTGTGTAACCTGTCACTTAGGAACTCAGCTCTTGCGGGAGCCAGGAATATATCTATTTCAAAGGAATTTAGAAGAACCATGCATATTTAAGTAAATATCAATAAAAGGAATTTGCAAATAGATGCAAAATGAATATGTACATTGGACAGTGAAGCCCTGGATTCCACCAAATAATTAATCTGACTTTTCTAAGGTAAAATCATTTGCATACTGGTTTTCTGCAACTGGTAGAGTGATACAATAACCAAAGCCAATGAAAAGCTGCTAAGATAATCAGGAAAGATGAATCTAAGGGGTTGTTTCTTTTTTTGCAGATTTTTTTATTTGAATTAGAAACAAGATTGTTTTAAATGACAATCCCAGTTCCCTTCTCCCTCCCATCCTCCTCTACCACCCCCCCAACTAAAACCCTACCTACCACATATCATTTCTGCTTCCCCTTGATGGTGAGGCCTTCCATAGGGTGTCATCAGAGTCTATCGTGACCTTTGGGATAGGGCCTAGGCCCACCTAAGGGGTTGTTTCTTTCTCTCTGTGATCCATTTTAAAGCATTTCATTATTTTCCCCAAGTGCTCCACTTTATTCTGGCCTCTCTTCTCAATATGCTGCCATACCACAAATTCCATACATAAATATGTAACAGAAAGATGAGGAAGCCACAACCCTATAGACTCATAGCTAAACAATGAACTAAAACTGAAGACTACCAAAAGTAGATGTTTGTAATGTGATTCAATGAAACTTCCAATACAAACTTTGAATCTAGGACTTAGACTAACAACACCATAAAAATAGCATTCCTGCAGGACTAGAGAGAGATGATCTTGCAGAGAAGCCTGACTCAGTTCCCAGTACTCACACAATTGGTAACAACAGCCTGTAATTCCAGCTCCAGTAATATAATGCCTTCACAAGCATCAGGCACAAACATGGTGCAAAAACATATACACAGGCAAACACACACATAAAAATACATCTTTTTAAAAATGGCATACCTATAAAGTTATTCTTCCACTGACTAATCCTGATGCATTTTTTAATTTTTATTACTGTGTGTGCATACATGTGTGCACAAGTGTGTGTGTGTGTGTGTGTGTGTGTGTGTGTGTGTGTGTGTGTGCATGATCTATTACTAAATATGGAGATCATGTCACCACCTCTAAGGTTCACATCTGTCTTTTAAAGACTTCTCTGGAACTACCATTCTTCATCATTCATCCAGCAGTATGACATTAACACAAAGAACTTTTTGAAATGCTCAAGCTAAACTTCGGTAAGAACATGGAACTATTAATACAGTGATCCACTGTAAAGATTCTCATCCAGCAGGGGATATTCAGGATGGGATTTCAAAACATCACACTTAAGCCTCCTCACTTTCTGCCCTCTCTGTGGCCTTGCTTCCTCCCACTTGTGGCTGGAAAACTTAAGATAGTAAATGCACAGCTAAAAGACGTAGGGATGTAGACAAAAACTTCAGAAAAAATGCAGTCATTCTTGTAGCCATTTTTACAATCAGATAGTTTTCCTTGAAATATAATCTCCTGACCAGCAAGGGGAGGGGGAATGGGTTATATCATACCATGCATGCAATAGAGAAATTAAAATGACTGCCAAGAGACAGCACCATTGCAAAATCGAATTGTTTTTAATTAGCCTGAACCTAGTGAGGTCCCAAGTATAGCAGGCTGGGAGCTACATCTGTGAAGCTATTTTGCATTTGATAGGACTCTCATTTGGGGTAAAGCAGATGTTTATTTGCCTTTTTATTGGGGGTATTTTATTGCTATTAACTCTACCATCCATATAGTCAAAAATTCTCACACATATATTTGTGTGCATATTTATATATTCTTTTGCATTTAGAAACCCTACTTTAAAAAAAAAACAACTCTTGCTCCTGTAGGTTCACTGGGCTCCTGTATCTTTGGAGATAATATTATTCAGATTCTATAAAGAGACTAAATGTAAAGTCATTCGCCTTATAGGCAGAGAGAGCAGAGGATACATTTATGTATTCTAGGACTCACTTTAGAAAATGAAACACAAACAAAGCTGGCTATATACATGTATAATGTATACCATATATACATATATGTGTGTTACACACATACACACACACACACACACACACACACACACACACACACACACAAGATATCTCTAGACCTAAAATAAGTTTAGGAACTGTCTATGAATCTCAGAATGTTTGGCCTCTCTAGCAGACATTCTTTTCTTATAAAAGAGGTTAGAATACTCTGGCCCAGGACAGATCCAGACCCTTCCTCATCCCACCCACTACTCTACCCTCACCCAGTTTCTGCAACTAAAGTTTTGTTGAAACATAGCCCCACTGTTCTACTTGCTCATTTCTTCCAACAAGGGCAGAATTGAATGACTGCAACAGAGACTTCACAACATACAAAATCTAACCTTGCTCTTTACCAAAAGGGCTTGCTGTAATAGTCACAGAAGAAGTCTATTACAGGTTGCATGAGGCTAATCCTTACCAAATAGGAAAATCCCAATCTTTTGGGAATACTATTTGCCCCTGTGTCTCTACGCTAGAAGATAAAGAAGTCAAATATGATATTGAGGTGAAATTTCTTGGGAATCATCCAGAATGCCTGTTCCATTTACCATTTTGATGGATGGTCTAGTAACCTTTATACTCTCCAAGTAGATGGTTCTTCCAAGATAACTAGAGTGAGGCTCTTTTGGAAGGATTTACCACGCCTCCAAACAGTGTGTGTGCTTTGGGCAAGGACAGTCCTCTTGGGCAGACTGATCACTTCTGTCTCACAGAAGGCCAATCTCAGACTCAAGAAAGATCTTTGTTGTGTCAACAGTGGGTTGGTTTGCTATTAGAATTTCAGTTTCCCTGAACCAGCTAGGAACTATTTTATTGCCCTGATTGTCTAATCAGTTTCTTTTCTGCCGAACTCATGGTTAAAAAGCCAAGTTTGCTGCCTTGTCAGCATGCCTCCCTGTGAGAAAGCAGGACCATGGGGGTGGGGTGGGGGATAATTACCCCAAAGTTCTGTCTCCAAATTATTATACTAACTTTTAAGAAAATGTTAATGGCTCCCTCTGGGCTTTTTCCCCCAGGACATCTCAAGGCCACTGAAGTTATGGCCGTGGCTGATTAATGAAAAGCAAAAGCTTTGGGGGGATTTGGATATTTTCATACACTCTAAAGAAAGTCAAGAAAGAAAAAAAGAGAGAAAAAACAAGTTCTTCTGGTGTAGCCTCTTTCCAAGGGTGGGGATGGAGGATATGGAACAAACGTGTATGACTGCAGAGCCTCTTGTTTACTGTAACATGCCTGTGGCTTTCAATTTGAGCATGGCTTTCTATGTGATATAAAAAGACATGGAGTTCAGACTGATTCAAGGAATGTGTGAGGAACAAGGCAGCGCCATTCTTGGAAACTTCAAAAAAAAATCCCTCTTTGGGCATAAAAATAAATCCTGGGAAGCACACTGAACATAAGCAGGGAAAGTTACAGACAGGGGTTCCAAACTAAGAGAAAACTCATCCTTAATGTCTCCAAGGGCTTACTCTGTTATCGTTTTTAGTATCGGTATTGGTCTGGTGTAAGAAGAGCCAGCATCCTGCAAGAGGCACAAGTGCTGGGATTTGGAGGGAGAAGGACACCCAACCAATGTCCTGCTGCCACTAGGGGTACAGGGCAGTGAGCAAGCAGGTGGTCTGTGGCTGGAATGTCTTGCAGCTGGGAGTTCACATGACACTCTCGAAACACACTCCAGTGAGCTCATAAACTAAAGAGAAGCTGCCAGCCCAGAATTGGGTAGAGGATCCCGAGCACATCCGGGTACAACTCTGGGAGCGGAGGCAGGTGCGATGCAGCCCCTCACAACACCCATGGCCTCCTGCCTGGGGCTTCTCACCCTGTCCTCTTGTTTGCTTGCCAACTGCAGGTTCATTCCAGAAGCTTGGTCAGCCTGCACTGTCACCTGTGGTGTGGGAATCCAAGTGCGAATAGTAAGATGCCAGGTGCTCCTGTCTTTCTCTCAGTCCGTGGCTGACCTGCCTGTGGATGAATGTGAAGGGCCCAAGCCAGCATCGCAGCGTGCCTGTTACGCGGGACCATGCAACGGGGAAATTCCGGAGTTTAACCCAGATAATGCAGACCAACTCTTGGGTGACTTGCAGGACCTGGATGAGCTGTATGACTGGGAATATGAGGGCTTCACCAAATGCTCTGAGTCATGTGGAGGAGGTAAGGAGGGGAGCCCAGATCAGAGGCTACCATCTTCCCGGCTTCTTCTGTCCCTGCATGCAACTGTATCAGATGACTGTCCTATTCCAAGAATGATAAGTGAAGAAAGGAGAGGCAGCCATTCTAGATGTAAAACATCCTGAATGAAACCCTGATGGATTTCTTTCACCCTGAGTGGCTCTCGTAGTCAGTTGTGAGCGGCCAGCACAACTGAGGCCTTGGCTTGCAGCTGTCATTCCAAGGTTTTTTTTTTCCTCAACATTCAGTCTTAAGTCTATGCCTTTCTTCGGTGCTTCTGGGGTGAAAGGAAACCCCACTGCATTACATTCTACTGTTCTCAAGGTCACAGGAGAGTCCCTGAAATTTATTCAGCTCGTTTTCCAAGGGAAGGAGTGTGGATAAAGACAATGAACACCGTGCATAACAGGAGCTGGAGTAACAAGAGAGCAGTGACCAAAGGCAGACCCGGCTCTGTTCTGTGAGAGGGAAACCAGGATGCAGGGAAGCCGTGGGACTCATTCCATCTCTCACAGCTAGTAATGATAGCACTGGGCCCAGGCCAAGCTTCTGGTTTCTGTCTTCCCTCAGTCCTTCCATCATACTATACCTCCTCTAGGCTCGCAAAGAATCCCTGACGCTTTCTCATTATGAATATTACTTAATGTCAAATGTTTACATATATTTTCACCTGGTTCTCTTGGGTACATTCCATGATTTAGAAATAACTCCAGTAATGTTTGCATTAATGCATTAGTGATGACCAATAACTGCACGTATTTATAGAGTGGTGCATGATTTGGTGTATATGTTGAAGGAAGATTAAAGCCAAGCTAATTAATCCCTTCAGGGATTCTTGAGGGGATACTAAGGAAGTGTGTGTGTGGCACTAATCTATATGGACATGTATAGAGAAACCAAGACGTGATGTCAGGGGTCTTCCTGAATTACTTCATCAGACGGTCTTTCCCAGAAGCAGGAGTCTGATGTTTCAGCTAGACTGGATGGACAGTTAAGTCCCTGGGATCTGCTTGTCTCTGCACCCCCAGTGCTGGGATTCAGGTGCAGGCTGCCATGCTCCGCATTGCAGCGAGTGCTAGTGATGTGAATTTGAATGGCTATGCCTACCCAGAAAGCACTTCATACACTGGCCAGCCCCTGTCAGTGGTTATGAAAAGGAGTGTGCTAGGAAAGGCATTGTGATAGGCCTTGCCATTATGGACAAATACATTAGATTGGTATTGCAATATTGCCCACACCAGTCAGTCCCAAGAGAGATGTCTGACAGGTGACAGATTGCAATCTGGTTCCCCACCAAAGTTTTAGAGCGTGTTGAGGCTCCACATGCCCAGTGAAGACTTCACTTAACCAGTGGGGGGAAAAAAAGTAGTCAAATAGTTTCCCAAAACTGTTTTCTAAACCATGACATTTGGGAAACTCTTTTAAAGGCATCTTTTGTTCTGGTTGAAAATGTAAGAATAAATGTGCCCACATTGTCCATTCACATGGAGTTGAAAGGGAATGAATACTACGAGCAAAGAATGTACTTTTCTCTAGCAGTTCTTTTTAAACATTTAATAGTTCTGACCTCAAGGTTCTTGTTTGTTTGCACATCTTCCAATTTCAAGCCCTGGAATTGTTGGAGTGTTTTAATGGAGAGCCCTGGTATTTTAAAATAGAAATTCTTCCAAATGAATCTAGGGGACCGCTTCCTGGAACTCAGCTAAGGCACTGTATTCACTTGGTGTGGTTCTTGCGCCTTGAGGATGTCCTTTCTTTCATGCCTAATGAGAGACAAGTGTTAAATAAACTTTGCTGATCTCTGAACCCCTATAGGACCCAAGAGGTCGGGAGGGGGGGCTGGATGTAGCTGGTGGCTGCCATTGATTCTTTGTTTTTTGTTTTGTTTTTGAGACAGGATATTACTATGTAACCCAGGCTCGCCTTTAATTTGTGGAATCCTCAACCCCAGCCTCCTGAAGGCTGTACTACCATACCAAATTGCCCCTGTTGAATATAATGAATGACTCAGAATTCCGACAGTTGTGTTTTTAATCCCAGATCCATGATCACCTAAATTGAATGTTCATTATATGTACTGAAGAACAAATGTGCTTTGAAACACACCATGGTTTCTCCGTTATGGTTCTCAGTTACAAGTCAAGCCTGGAATTTTATGAGAAGGTAGAAAAATAGATGCAGCAAGGGGATATAGAAATAACCAGATACCTTTATCTGAGAATCTAACACTTCTGCTGACCAACTAGGAGTTTAAAATGAATTTTTAGGGTATATGTGGAGTATATTAATTTTAAGAATTCTCAGCAGAAAGTGGTTGAGAAATAAGATTTGGATGTTTGATATACAGTTGATCTCTACCAATAGGAACTGAAATTTTTGTATGGCATATATTGTTCTTCATTTATACCCAAGAGAGTGCCAAGTTACTAAAATTTCTTAGGTCTTCAACTGTCAACAACCGAGCACAATGTGCCAAGGTAATATATTTACACCTAAAATGTTAGAGTTGAAATTTCCAAAGTGATAAAAAAATACACTTGGGTTATGTGGTCCATATGATGCCCATATGCACTAACAAATCACTTCAATATATGGGACATGTATATTTTCAAGTTACGATTTGGCAGTGACATTTTATTGTATTATCAGCTTTGATCATTCACCAACATAAAATGCATAAGATTATATGTAATAATGTGCAAGATATATATATATATTATATGTATATATTTATTTTAATCATTCTTACTGAAACCAACCTAAAATATTCAAGGTTAATAAATAGACTTTAAATCAATTAGAGTTATGGAGCCAGTCATGCTAGTTTTATTGTTTCTATAATCTTGAGATGAAATTGGATAGAAGAAAGGTAATATTTCAGCTAGTAGAAGTAGTAACCAAAAGGAACTAGTTAGTAATTTCAATCTTCAGTTGGTGGCTGAGGTTCACTGAACTATCATCAATATCACACAATAATCATACTATTCTGGGAGATATAAACACAGGAAATCCCATTTCCATGAAGATGAAAGTCCTCAGGCCTATGAATGCTGTCCTACCATCTCCTACTCATCATACTGTAATTTCCTATGTGTGGGTTGGTCGATATGGTCCAGGATAGCAGTTCTGAGCCTAAGCTGCACTGTGATATTGACTTCCTAGATGCCAAACCAACTTCAGAGTCTAGCTTAGGAAAAACATGGAACTGACATCAGCAGAATTTAGGGCGAAGTCTTGGACTGACTGCTACTTTCCCTTTCTACTCCTTTCTTCTCCTTTTGTCAGAAGAGTAGAACCCAGAATCAGAATATACTGTGCTTACACTCAGGTTCTCCATTGCTTTTATAATATTGGTTTCAGGGGACTAGAGAGATAGCTCAGTGAGTTTGCATAGTGCATGCTATGCAAACAGAAGGACCTGAGTTCAGATTCCAGTACAACATGGGTGGGGTCAGGTAACTGCATACCTGTAATCTCAGAACTTAGGAGTGAGGAGACAGGATTGCTGGGACTTGCTGATTGACAGCCTAGTTACAGGCTCAGTGAGAGACCCTGTCTCAGAGAAATGAGGCAGAGAATAATGGAGCAGAACACCCACCTCATCTAGCCTCTGCGTATGTACTAGCAAACACATATGTATACTATACTCTCACACATACACAAACATTAATTACATATATATATATATATATATATATATATATATATATATGAATTCAAGATTCTGTTATTTCTTCTACAAGGAGCATGAACTTAGGAAACTACAGTTCTACATTTTTGCCTCCCCACCCCCAATGCCAGGAATATAGGAAATACAGACTCCTTCCCATTCTTTCCACATCTCCCACTCCAGGACAGCACCTCACTCCATGGTCCTTTCTTCCAGGCATCCCACCTGGCCCCTTTCAGTCTCATTTTCCCTCTGTGATTAGATTGCCCTGTGTCATTGATGTATTCATCCTAGAAACATGAACTATGTTGATCACAGAGTTTGCCCCATGTACTATTGAAGCATGACTGAACTTCTGTCTTGGGTTCTCCCACCTAAGAATGCCCGAGCAACTGACCCCATGCCAAAAGAGAGTTAATACACAGTGTTGCAGAGCCTGGCACATTGTTTTGTAATACCTTAGATTAAAACTTAGTAACTCTGGAGTGCTTCTTGATCTCAGCCTGTGGCTACCCCATAGGTGCTTTTGATCTGCTATGATTAATGCTCTGCAGAAGTATATGTTTGGGATTTAGAAATCCAAGGGAGGAGATTAGTGATGTCCTGCAGAAACCTTGCCTTTTTTACCCCACTCCTTGCCATCTTGGGAGGGCTTAAGTTCTATAAACAGAGAGTTCTCTGAGCAGAAACAAGTTCCAGCCCTCATACACCTAAAGCAGGCAATTTCAAGTAAGGCAAATGACAAGCTCTCTGGTCACTTACTGCCTCCGAGTTCCTGGAGAGCAACCCAGTTTTATAAGCTTTCCACAGCCCGAATAAAACCCAAATATGTTTTCTAGAATATCTAAAATGCTATCAGGTAGACAAGTTAGTAGACAATGTCTTATTTATTATCAGATTAGCATATAAAGTATTGGATTTCAACATGGCATCCTCACACATGTCATTGTACTCTGCTGTCAATCTTTCCCCTCTCCTCCCCTCTCCCTCTTCCTTTCCCCACCCTACACCTTTCAGTGGGTTCCCTTTCTTCCTTCAGCTAGTCCCCCTTTGTGGTTTGTTGTTACATGTAACCCATTACTCTACTTCCCACCCCTCTTTAGAGTTATTCCTCCCCTTCTGTAATCTTCTTCCTACCTTTGTAACCTATAAGTACACATATGTACAGACACACTGTACTGTGTGTGTGTGTGTGTGTGTGTGTGTGTGTGTGTGTGTGTGTGTGTGTGTGTGTAGACTACACATACATGAGAAAGGCCATGATATTTATCTTTCAGGGTCTCTTATGTAACATAATAATTTCCATTTTCTC